TTCTTTTTTGTTTACGCGACTTATGAATAATTATCATTGTTTGTTTATTATTTATTATTAATACTTTGCATTTTTATATCGTGATAAAAAAGATGAAAAAGAGTTTAATGGACCTTTAATAAGAAAAAAAAAAATAGATTAAATTCTATCTATTTTAAAAAAAAACGCGTTTGATATCGTTTGATATGTTTGATATCATTTTTGATAATTAAATGTTTGTAAATCATCGACAAAATAATGTTCATTCAATTCTTATAATGTTTTTATTTTCAATCCGTTTCAGAGTTTTTTTTATAAATAAATAAATAAGCGAGTTAAAGAGACGAATTAAAAAAAAGGGGGGATAAAAAAAAAAAAAATAAATAAATAAAATTTAATGCAAATAAAAAAACCATTCCTACAAAAACTCCTCTACACCTTTTTTCACCATTAAACAAGGTATAACAACAATGGAATCTATATATCGACCAACATTTCTAATAATAATACAGTGCCGGACCTACCGACAGAACGAAAAAAAAAAGTATTTTTTTTTTTCTTTTGAAAAAAAAACTAATAATTGTATTAATTGTATTAATTGTGAACTATAAAACTATAAAACTATAAACTGGTAGATTTTTTCTAATTTAGTACAAGTAATAAAATTATAACAATAATGATAACAAGATTTCTAACAAGTTTTTTATAAGATAAATAAGTAAGTAAAAGCAAGAGAGCATAAGACAGCTGCGAAAGTATGGATTTTCGGTAGTGTTACCGCTTTTAAAACAATAATCGGAATTTTCTATTGAAATTTCGCATAAACCCACATTACGATGCGTTTCAAATAACTTGAATAATTCAATAATTCGTAATTATACGTTCTTTTAAAATAAAATTATATTTATTAATATCCTTTTATCAAATTTGGTATGCGGAGCTCGTCTTAATAATGAAATTCATTTCTAAAAAAGTATTCTTTGATAAAATATATTTATTTTTCATTTCGCATTTTTCGCAGAAAAAAAAAGCATAGACCATCTCACAAATTATTTGTTAAAAAAAAAATATTCAAGTTTTATTTCAAGTTTCAATTCTTGTAATTCTTGTAATAAAAATTTTTTCTTACCTGTTTTGTGAAATTAAGTGGAACTAATATTTTTTGACATTATTATATACTGCGGGTTACCTGCTACCTGCCGAAAATTCTTAATAACAAAAAAATGGCGCAATAACCTCAATAACCCCTCATCCTGTATTATTTATATGTAACAGTATATCTAAATGTTATATATTACATATATTATATACATAAATTATATATATATATGATACGTATTACATATTTTTTATATATATTTTATATTATATATATTATATATTACATATTTTATACGTATATTGTATATTTTATATTAATGTACTTTAAAAAAACGTCTTTTATGTATTCATAGTTTCATAATTAAAATCTACAGATATTTAGCTAATATCCAAATTACCAAATTTGTAAAAAGTTTAACAAAAATTTTCTTTTTGGCGTAACAAACAAATGTTTAATTTTATTAATGATTTTTAAATGATAGAAAAAAAAACGGTACCATAATTACCAAATATTATCATAGTTACATATTTAATTTTCGGTAATTTTTTTTTGTTTATTTCCGGGTATAATAATAAACATAATGATTATTTTTTTTTTTATGAAAAAGGATTTTGAACATATGAACAAAAAAAAAA